TGATATTAAAGAATTATTGCTTATTTACTTATGATGTAATAAATGGTATTGGCCTATTTTTTAGATATATGTATGGAAATATCAGTGAATAAAATCTGCATCTTGCCCTGGTGCTAAGAATGAGACCTTCTCCCCGGGCATGGTGGCACATGCCTATAATCCCAGTGGAATGGGTGTGGCTAGGGCCCCCTTTGGATCTGAGCTTGGGAGGCTGAGGCAGGAGGATCACGAATTCAAAGCCAGCCTTAGAAATTCAGTGAGATCCTGTATATAAAAGAAATACAAAAAGGAGTAGGGATGTGGCTCCTGGCTTCAACCCTTGGTGCAAAAAAAACAAAACAAACAAACAAACAAACACACAACAAAACAAAACAAAAAAAATGAGACGTTCTCTTAAGTAGATTGAATGTTGTCATTCTACTGAGACTCCCCCTCTCCGCTAATGGGCTTCCTGTGGACACTGATGTGTCTTCACATACCTTTCTGGGTGTGTCATTCTCAGATGTTGTCTGAGGCAAGCCTTGTTCTCATTAAAATCCTGGCAGTGTGTGGACTCTCAGCCCTGGGGTCTTGAAGCAGCCTTGGTGTGTGTCATCTTCTGTAGGTTCTTTGACCTCAAGGTTTGCTTCTCTCTCACTCACCTGCCCCTTCCTTGCCCTGAAGCACACAGGGTGCCACTGGCTGTTCCTCTGGAAAACACTCCCCTCCCCCAATGTCTGCAGCCTTTAGAATGGAGTGGCTGTCCCCCGCTGCCTCCTGGTGCCTCTTTCAGCTCTTACCCCACATGCTGAGTCCCTTGTCCTCCCCACTCAGCCCTGGATTCCCAGAAGGTGCTGTGACAGTGAGCCTGTGGGTGTGGATGTAGGAAGGGGAGACCTTTGCACTTGATGTGGTGGGGGACAGAGTCCCTTGAAGGGTTCCGGTGGAGCTGGCAATGCGGAGGTGAATGCAGGTTTTAGCACTGGAGAGATCTGTTCCTTGGATAGCCACCTGTACAGTGTCTTTGGTTTCACTGGTGTGTCCTTGTGTAGACATATTTCTTCAGCTTTCACCTGGAGCACTGAGAAGCACCAGCCCTTCTGCAGGAATGGGTGTGGCCAGGGCCCCCTCTGGATCTGAGGAGGCCACAGTGGCAGGGGCCTGGCTTCAGGGTGGGGTGAGCAGTACACAGCTTTTTCTTTTCTTTCTTTCTTCTTCTTCTTCTTTTTTTTTTTTTAGAGAGAGAGAGAGAATTTTTTAATATGTATTTTTTAGTTTTCCATGGACACAACATCTTTGTATGTGGTGCTGAGGATCGAACCCCGGCCGCACGCATGCCAGGCGAGTGCGCTACCGCTTGAGCCACATCCCCAGCCCCACAGCTTTTTCTTTAATGAGTAGTGGAGGGTTTTTTCAGGTGCTCTAGTTCTAATGTGTGTCCCACGCGAGGTGACATTGGAGGTGCCCATGGTTTGGGGCAGTGGGGGGCCCTCTCCACTGTTCGGCCCTCCCGAGCCATGCCACCTGCATATGTTCCTTGGCACCCCTGCCTGCCTTCTGCATAAAGCACAGGCCTGTAAATGTTCCTCAGTTTAAAAATAACATTTTCCCTACCAAGAGCAAGACTCCCTTCTTGTCCATCTAATTTTAGTCCCTTGTTTTTATGAACTTGGAAATGTTTTCTTTAAGCAAAAAACAGAAGAGAGCACACAGATGCAGGAGACTCCTGGCCGTGTTTCTCAGGAGCTCAGGCGTTTCTGTGTGAGATTTTCTTTCTTGTTGAACAGGTTGCTAAAAAACAAAATTGTGAATCAAGACAGTATAAAAGACACAAAGAGGAAAGCATGACCTCGCCTGGTTTGTTGCCCTGTGGAATGCTTTCTGAGGGCAAAATTGAAACATAAGACAACAAGAGTTCATGACAGAGGCCAGTGGGGCTCTGAGGACTCTGCCTCTGTTCAATCCAGCTTCCCATGGAAAGCTAATGAGAAGGTCGAAGTACATGGTTCTGTGAATCCTTCTGCCATAAGTAGCCTCTGGCTATAAGACCTTTTACGTTCTTCATATTCTGAGTACAGACATTATTTTTTTCTTGGTTAAAATTGTTGTCAACCTCTTTGTCTCTAAATTTTTTATTACTATTTTATGTAGATATTTCTGTGTGTCTACAGAACTCACAAGTTTTTATTTTTAATGGTTAAACTTTAGTTAAACCAAAGTTTAACCATTTCCTTTGTGAGACTTTAGATTGTTTCAAGGACTTAACATTTCCCCTTGTAAATAGAGTAGCTTTGGGGAATGTAAGACTTTTGAAGCTTTGTATTTAGGAAGGGGCGAGGGAGTGAACACCTAATTTTTCTTATTTTTATTGTAAGAATAAAACAGCTGTATGGTCTAACATTTAGAAAAGACAAGATAAATAAAAACATTTTTAAACAATGTTTACTACTCAGGCCCGGTGCAGTGGCACACGCCTGTAATCCCAGCACCTCGGGAGGCTGAAGTAGGAGGATGGTGAGTTCGAAACCAGCCTCAGCAATTCAGCAAGGGCTTAAGCAACTTAGACATATCCTTTCTCTATAAAATATAAAAATGGGCTGGGTATGTGGCTCAGTGTTAAGTGCCGCTGGGTTCAATCCCCAGTATCAAAAAAAAGAAAGAAAAAAAGAAAGAAAAAAGTTTACTTGCCGGGTGCAGTGGTGCCCTGCAATCCCAGAACCTCGGGAGGCTGAGGCAGGAGGATCTCGAGTTCAAAAGTGAGGTGCTAAGCAACTCAGTGAGAACCTGTCTCTAACTAAAATACAAAATAGGGCTGGGGATGTGGCTTAGTACTTGAGTGCTCCTGAGTTCAATGCCCAGTACCAAAAAAAAAAAAAAAAAACCAAAACCCAAAACAAAAAAAGTTCACCACTCAGATAGTCATTATGAATTTTTTTTAATGTACATCTATATCAATAATTATCTTCTGACAATAGTGTTGTATTAAAGGCACTGTTTTATAATCCTATTTTAACCTAAATAGATCATAATTTTCTTTTACTGTTAATCTTATGTATATTCCTATGTCAACATAATAGAGTCTCCTATTTTTTATAGGGAAATACTACAGTTTATTCAGGAAAGATGCCTTGTGGAAGTTTAGATCATTTCCAAATTGTTTTTCTATACGTCATCATATATGTTGTCATATTTCTCCATTTTGCAATTTGCCTTTCAGCCATGAAATTTTTTGATATATGGATATGTAAGAATTTTATATTAGGTTTATCTGTCATTGTTTTCTTTTATAGTTTTTATCCTTTGGTAACCTGATTAGAAAAGCCTTCCCGATTCCAGTATTATGTAAAATATTAACTTGTTTTTCTTATACTTCTGGGTTTTTTTTCTGTATTTTAGTATTTTTAATTTTAAACCCATCTAACATTACATTAGTGTAGGGTATGGGTGGTTCAAGAGACTATGCCAATATTATGTACCATTTATTGATAGACTTTGACATATGCTGCTTATGAATATATAGAATTCTGATTTATGTGAGTCTTTCTGAGGGCCTTTTTTTCTGTTTGTATATATTTATTCCTCTGGATTAAAGTCAGGCTTCTTATTTCTTTACCAGCTCCCATTGGCATTTTGATTCAGGTCTGTCAGGTCATGTAGGTTAATGTGACATCTTGACAATCTGGAATCCTCACGTTCAGCAAGCTGGCATACCTCTCCATTTGTGCAAATCTCTCAACATTATTCAGTAAAGATTTGTAGTTTTTATTCTGAGCTTTCACATTTTCTTAAACTTAGGTTTTACTATTTTTCATTGGTGAATATGATACTTTTTCTATTTTATTTTATATTGTTGATGTTTAAGAACTTTACCAGTTTCCATCAATCGTAGATATATAATTCACACATAAGTGCACAGTTCTATGAGTTTTAACAAAAGTACGCAATTGTGTAACCACTAGCACATGGGAGATATGCAGCAAGAGGTCCCTTGTGACTGCTGCCATCAGTCCCTCCCCTCCCCTCAGCTCTTAGTGACAAAGGTGTGTTTTCTGTTGCTGTAGTTTTGCCTTTTGCAAAATGTCATGGAACTGGAATCACAGTAAATCATCTTTTGTGACTAGTTCCTTTCACTGGGAATGATTCTTTTAAAGCTCATCCTCATTGTTGCTTGTACCAATAGTTTATTCCTTTTATTGCTAAATACTATTCCTTTGTTTAGATATACCACAATTTAGAAAGTTCATTTATCATTGATGGACATTGGTTGTTCCCAGTTCTTAGCTCTTAGGAATAAAGCTGTTGTGAATATCCACAAATCTTTGGTTGACATGTGTTTTAATTTCTTTTGGTTAAATACAGACGAGTGGTGTGGGTGGGTGTGTTATGTGGTGAGTGTATTTTTCTTTATAAGAAGTCGTAGGCCAAAAATGGTATTTTTCTTTGTGATTGGCCACTTAATGGAATGCTTATGGGGTCTGATTTTTTAAAAATCAGGTAGTCTAGATTTTCCTGATAGAAAAATCTTAAAAATTTAAAATGCCTTCCTATTTCATTCTTTATATTTCATTAAAAACAACAACAACTGAGCTGAAGTGTAAAGGCCCCAAAATACCTTTTCTCTTTAGAGTTATAGAGATATTAGACGTGTGTGCGTGTGTTTTTTTTCCCTCCAGATGGCTCGCCATTGAATTTTGGGGGAGGGTGTTTGATTTCTCTACAGCTAAAAACGCTACACAGAAATGGGCCTGTGCACCGGTTCTCTCTGTACCCTGTGGCCAAGGAACTATTCCAGGATGGAATGAGACCATGCTATTCCACTCAGCCTCTTGATCTTGAGCCATTCCCCATGTGACTTTCTTTTTCTCTTTTCTTTTTAAAAACAAAACAGTAACTTCCCTGAGTTAGGCTCAGATTTTGGCCTCATTTCATGCTCCTTCATCCAGTCTTTGGAATGGCTTGTTTGCCCCCAGCCATGGAAAACACGTGCAACAGGAGGCTGTGCAGGCTCATTGTCAATGGAATTGTGTCTCTTTGAAATTTTACTAGTGAACATCTAATTTGTTAATGCAGCTTCTGTCAGTCAAGTGGATGGCAGGCCTCTTGGAGACGGCAGCTGCCAGTTGGGTGCTTGACTCATTTTCTGGTAACCACTTCAGGTATGCACAAGCTCCCCGGTGCCTCGCCTCCTGTCCATCATCACCAGAGGCACTTAGACCCCAGGGCTTGAAAACTCTTCATCTGCAAGGGGAGTCATCCATCTCTCTGTGTAAAAAGAATTAGAAGATATAAACAGAACGGGAGATTAAAAATGAGCGTTTGTTTTTGAACACAAGAGATACAAAACCTATCTTTTGTTTTGTTAGTTTTTAAAGGTAAGGATATATAGACTTACCACCTTGAATCCTGGATCTGACTTGGATTTTTCTTTTGAGCTCTACTTAGTTTCTCTGGGAGAGATGCTACAGATTAGCAGCTAAACACAAACCTGAGGCACTGGCTTTGATTCTGTTTTGCATTCAATTTGTCATCTGCTGGTGCTTTTGTGCCTTCCTTTTCTCCTCATTAACTGTCCCTTAGGAGATGGCATCAATGCATTTTGCAATGAAAGGACCCCAGCCAATGGTTCTAGACTTGGAATTCATCACTTCTTCTCAGATCCCTCCTTGCATTTCTCCCTAGGAGACTGGGCCCTTCTGGGATGCAGTGTCTAGTGCCCCATTCTCTGTTGCTCTCCTCTGCCCCAGTGATTTCACCGTCCCTGACTCTCTCTGCTTCCTGTTGCTTTGATGGGTCTCTGGCATTGTCTCTTCCCTGAGCTGGAGTGTGAGCTCATAAGGACACATTTTATGGCCTTTTGTGTCCTTGTTATATAGTGCGTAGCACCTGCTCTGTACTCACATGTCCACAGGTTGCACGTGGCCAGGTAAATACATCCAGTTTTCCCTCATCACTTTTGCCATAAACCAATGTTCTTCTAGAGTTCAAAAAATTTAGGGATTAAAATGAAGTATTAACAATAGCAAAATATTATAATATTTGCTTTCTTTGAAATATATGAATAATAAAACAAGTGACAGTATTGCATACCTCTCATGTGTCAATGTGGGCTACTTCCTCACCATTCTGCATAAAATGGCCCTTAATAGTGTAACAATGCTACTTGAGTCCTTGTTAGTTTCAAAATAACCTTTTGAATTTTCATATAAAGAAATACTGAATGGGTTTTTTCCCTCTGTTACTTTTTAAATTTTCTTCTTTGCAGTTTGCTGCCGGGTCTTCGTGTGTCCTTGGGCAGGCCAGGGTGGTGCACAAGGCAGGGGATCAGTGCCACTCCTTGGTAGGGAGGGGCACCTTCCTTTGTGTCTGGGATTCTGGAGTTGTGCATCTGGCAGGAATTACCCACATGTGCCTGTGTTGACTGTTCATAATTTTATATCTTGTTTGTTAAGCTGATAGCAGGGCACCCATTAGGAGAACCAATGCACCCAAAGTGTTGCATTTGGCAAAGTACTCATTGTACCAGCATTTCCAGTGCCAAAAATGGGGCAAAGAATTGTACGAGACCTCTGCCCTATTTTATTAAGAACTGGATCTTAATGTATACCTGTGATTCAATTCATAAACTTAAATTCAGCATTGTATTTGGATTTAGCATAGTGATGGAAGGGTGGACTCTGGGATAGACACATCAAGGCTTAAACTGCATCTTTATCTCACTGTGCATGAGCCATATGAGCACTAGCCTTGTGGGACTTGCTATCAGTAAGGTAGCCAGTGGCCAGCATTGCTCAGGTCTACAATGCTCTTATAGATTGCAAGAAGAGGCTTCAAGTCCTATATGCCTGCTTTGGGCCTGAATTTAACTAGCAGGGTGAATACTCCTTATTTTTTTTCTGTCATTAAAAATGATGTCAGGGCTGGGGTTGTGGCTCAGTGGTAGAGCACTCACCTAGCATGTGTGTGGCCTGGGTTCGATTCTCAGCACCACATAAAGATAAATAAAGTTATTTAAAAAATGATGTCAGGTTGTGTGAAGCATGATTGACATACACTAGATTGACATACACATGATTGAATCTTGGACTGGGTTGTGGCTCAATGATAGAGTGCTTGCCTAGCATGTGTAAGACATGGGTTCCATTCTCAGCACCGCATGTAAATAAGCAAAATAAAGGCCCATTGACAACTAAAACAATATTTTTAAAAAAGTTTTCAGCCTTTTCAGGTGTATATTCTGTGGGGGAACAGGTGTTTTTTTCTGAACTTTCTGTTCTTTGTTCCTTCTCCTTCCTTTTGGATTTTTAAATTTTCTACCTTTATCTCTTCCTCTTATTATACCATTTTCTAACCTATTCTATCTAGTGATTGACCAAATTTGCAGTGTATGTTTGGCTTTCACAGTCTGCTTCCAATACTGTATCAGTTATTCCATTGTGTAAGAATCTTATAGGAATTCTTTGGGCTACTGTCCTAATGCTGCATTTTATATATGTTACAAACCTCATAATACATTATTTTCACATTAATTTACCTCTGAGAGCAGTGTGGTCCACTTAAACTCCTGAAAGGATGGAAATAGATCTGCACTGTAAAATATGGTAGCCACCAGCCACCTATGGCCACGGAGTACTTGAAGGGGGATATACTGGGGTCTGAAGTGGAGCAAATTATATCCCATCCTGACATGGTTATGTCAAAATGAACCTCAATATTATGTATTACTATAATGCACTAATAAAAACATAAGCAAAGAGAAGTGGCTAGTTATGACTGGATAGTTGAGTTTTATATTTTGTGATACTAGACGTTGAATGCAGGAGTGTGCTACCACTGAACTACATCCCCAGCCCTTATAATTTTTTTTTTTTAAGCAGGTTCTTGCTAAGTTGTCTGGGCTGGCCTTGAATTTGTGATCCTCCTGCCTCAGCCCCTTGAGTTGCTGGGATAACAGGTGTGCACCACCATGCCTGGCTTGAATAGCTGAATTTTATATAATTTAAGTAGTTACATGTGAATATTAGACCAGTGTAATTTTAGAACCATTAAAGATTTTAGAAAACAATTTTGTACATACCTTCTTTTCAAACTATTTCAGGAACTCTTAGTTCCGTTAAGAAGAGTTTGCTCTGTCTCATCACCTTCTGACTAATGAGCATCCTTTAACATCTCTTAGGTTGCACTTCTCTGGGAGTGAATGATCTCAGATGTTGCCAGTCTGAAAAAGTCTTACTTGCCAAAGGTATTTTTTCAGGTACATGTAGAATTCTGTGTGGAAACATTTCCATTCCATACTTTAAAGCTGTCATACTGCTGCCTCTGGCTTGTGTTATAGTGATAAATCTGCCAGGATCCTACCCTTTGTTACCCTGACTGCTTTGTGTCCTCCCATCATACCTCCACCCTGGCAGCTCTTTAAGATTTTTCTTTATTTTAGTTTTCAGCAATTTGAACTTGGTGTGATTTTGGTATCTCTCTTGTCTGGAGTCTTCTACACTTCTTGGATCTGTGGTTTTATGTCTTTAGTCATGTCTGAAATATTTGTGGTTTTTATCTCTTCAAATGGTTCCCACTATTTCATTCTTTCTTTCTCCTGGGATTCTATTGATCCATCTATTTACAACTTCACTGATTATTACTTTGGCTGTGGCAAGTCTATTGTTAAATCTGTTGGATACCATGTTTATTATTTCTGTCATTTCCATTTGATTCTTCCTTGTATTTTCCGTCACTATGCTATAATTTTCAGTCTGTGCATGCATGTTGTCCACCTTTCCCAGTAGGTCCCATCTGTGTGGTGGCCATGTCTTGCCCCTGGGCTTTGCCCCAACTGGGATGGTCAGCGGTTCCTCTTCTCCTGAGATGACAGTGATCTAGAACTTCAGGTTGTTTGGTTGCCTTGGAACCCCAGCTCTCTGTTGATTCAAAAAAGGTTATTCTATGGCTATCTTGTTGTTAATTTATATGAGGGCAGGTGATTCTCCAGCTTTCTAAAAATAACTTTCTAAAAATAACTTTTTCTAAAAACTTGGTTGAGCTTAAACAGTATATGAGATTTATAATATTCTTTTAAATTATTTATTTCCTGTTCTTTACTGGTGAAGAAGAGTGTGTCCTTATCTCTTATAAACATATGTTACCTAGTTTTTTTAGTTTCTATCAACAACATTTTTTTTCAGGTCATAATTTGGTGAAAAATTTATATGCAAAATTACAATGATATAGCTTATTATTTCCCAAAGTTTACAAATAGTGATGATATTGAAAATGAATATTCTTGCTAGAAGCATAAAAAAGAACAAATGCAAATGCTTTAAAGGACCACTGTAGCCTTCACACTTGGCCATGTTTTCACATTAGTGCGTCTTCTCAGTTGTTCTGCCATATACGCGCCCTTTTTCTTTCCTGCTTGAAAGCTTTGGCTTTCTGTTCAAGGAACTTTTTGGGATCCTCCTCCAGTGATGCCCATTTGCAGGGGCCACCCCTACATGGATGGTTGAGCCATTAGCCTCTTCCTGCAGCACCCGTTCCGTGTGCATGATGCAGCTCTTCCTGTAAACCAGGATGGCTTTGCCAGCTGCTGACCTTTGCAATGTCCTCATGCCACCTGAACTGCATCATCCCCTTGGATGGGCATGAATCAAGCCTTGTGCTTTTGCTCTTTTGAAAGAGGGGAGGACATACCTTCCTGTGAATTTGAGAAAGTGTGTTGAAATGACTTTTATGGTTCTATCGAAAGTCACGAAGGTATTGAACTTCATTTTGGCCACTGCTGCTTCAGTGATGTCTGCAAAAGGGAAGAGCTGTATTTTTTAAAACCAGAAAAAGAACTGTAAAATTTGGTGGATGGCAGGTTGCTGGATCATTTAAAAAAAAAAAAAAAACAGAGGAGGAAGAACTATAACATGCTTCAGACACTGGGAGAAAAGCCTTGGGATATGACCCTGTGGATAGAGATGTGCTTGATAACACTAATTGAATAGCATCCAAAGTTCCATCAGCAGGTGATAGGTAACAAGAAAGTCACCCTGATGGTGTATTATGCACATTCCTGTTCACAAACCTTTGTTGCATACCTACTGTGTGTCAGCCTTGTACTAGGTGTCCCAGATGCCTTATCTCATCTTACAGTTCCCTCAGGTGGTACTGGATACCCTTGTCCCATTTCACAAAGGAGGGAAGCAAGACACAGAAGATTAAATAACCCCCCCAGGCCATACAGTTACTAAATAGAGAGCTAAAAGGACAGTTATACAATAATAATGATTCTGATAACACAGGTTGAAATAAGAATGAAGAAAACCTTAAACATCTTTGATTTGCAAAGATGAAAAAGATGGATTATAGGCAGGCACCGGGATCCTGGAACTCTGAAACACAGTTGGTAGGAATACAAATTGAGAAAGGTTTCTTGGAGGTCCTGAGGCCATCTCTTTCAGAATTTAGCATTTGACCAAGCCATTTTGCTTTTAGGAATTTACCAATGGTAAGGCTTCATAGCGTGCAAAAATGTACTCATAAAGGTCTTTGTTACTATTTTACTTATAATGGCAGCAAATTGGAAATCATTTGAATAACTGAGTAAATGATGGTCTATCCAGAAAGTATAATTGTAAACATTTGTAAGAGTGGAGTAGGTCCTTTTGTGCTGACATGGGCAAAGCTGCCACCATGAATCGTTAACTGTAAAAACTACCTCGTGTAAAACAACCTCATTTCCATGAAAAGACACATTTGAAGAGTGTGCATACAGAGATGATAATGCATGTGTTGGCAGGAGTACATAGATCTGTATACAGTGCTTGTCCTTGAAAGTAGGATTGGAGGAACATTTACTCTGTATTTTCTACTTTTTGTTGTTTCAGGTTTTTTTTTTTTCCTAATTTTTTTCTCAACTCCCCTGCCCTGTCTCATTACTCTAATGGTTTTTAAAACTATCATTTCAGTTCTTAAAAATTCTCTCATAAGAGCTGAGCATTAGCAGCAATTTTCTCTAAATCTGTCTCAGATGATGACTTGTGTTTTAATTATGTAAAAGGTAAGGAAATTGAATATGAAACTGCATTTGCTTTGATGTAAGGGGTAGTGTTCCCTTCATATAGAAAAAAAACTGAAACAGCATGTGTGTACTACTTTTATTAGTAGAAAAGCAGCTGTGTTCTTTGAAAAAAACATTATAGGAGCTAATCTAATTGATGGAAATGTGTGATTGAAAACTGGTGCAAAGTATGGGCTTTGGGTTGTAGCTCAGTGGTAGAGTGCTTGACCGGCAGGTGTGAGGCACTGGGTTTGATCCTCAACACCACATATAAATAGATAGATAGATAGATAGATAGATAGATAGATAGATAGATGATAGGTATTATGTTCATCCACAACTAAATATATTAAAAACAACAACAACAAAACGGTGTAAAAATAAATTCAGGATTATACTGGGGGCAGATCAGGTGTGAACCTGTCTTGGTATGAGAACATAATATTCTATGTATTTGTAATTTCCTAATCTGCTTACATTTTACATCATAACATTTGGGCTGGGGATGTGGCTCAAGGGGTAATGCGCTCGCCTGGCATGCGCGGGGCGCTGGGTTTGATCTCCAGCACTACATAAAAATAAAGATGTTGTGTCCACCAAAAACTGAAAAATAAATACTAAAAAAAAATTCTCTCTCTCTCTACCTCCTCTCTTTAAAAAAAAAAAAAAACCCCAAATAAAGATATTGTGACAAAGAAAACAGACCCAAAAAATTAAAAAATAAAATAAATAAATCATAACATTAAAAGACTCTGTTTTCCCCATAGAAAAATTCTTCTCAAAGACCTTCAAACCCAGAAGCAAAAGTTGAAAGAAAAGGTTTCTGCTAGTTTTTTCCCCCCCTAGCCTGTTAAACTAACAAAGGAATTACTTTTCACCAAAAGTTAAACTATGGAGTTAGTTAAACTGTGGATTTAGTTCAGTCACCAAAAAGAGGTTCAGAGATTTGCTTCTGGTGACTTGGTAAAGACATACAAATTCATGAAGCAAATATTTGCATACCTGGCTCACAGTATAAAGTGTGCTGGAGGGGGGCGCACCACTGCCTTTTGGTGAGGGTTCTGGGTCCCCTTGGGTGTGAAAGCCCTGAACTAACCTGCTGCAAGGGTCACCTGGAGGCTGTGCTGGTTTTAGGACTTATCTGTTCAGGACAAACTCTAAAATACAGCCATCTGGATTGTGCAGGGTTACCCCAGAGCAGGCCTTCATTTTTGAAGTTAACTCAGCTGCCTGCGTAGAGTGATTCCATTGAGCTAGAACTATCTTAATTTGATAAGTATCCTAATTGAACAGGGAGTTTTGGGTTTGACCCAGAACCATCCTGGTCTTCTGTGGAGCTGTGGGTGTGTAATGCTGTCGGATCATGTTCATTGTTAGAAGCCCAGTAAAAGGAAGCAACTCACTTGGCCAACACAAAATAGCCATAGTATAAGAGGAAGGAGTCCAAGAATTAGTATTTTACTGTGATTATGAAGTTAAGTTGGTTATAAATATTATTTCAATCTGTTCCACAAATCCATTTTTAAAAAATCTTACACTTTGGGCAGGAGTTCATATATATAAATTGGTGTGAATTTTTTGTCACCTCTCCTGCCCTGTCTCATTACTCTAATGGTTTTTAAAACTATCATTTCAGTTCTTAAAACTCTCTCATAAGAGCTGGGCATTAGCAGAAATTTTCTCTAAATCTGTCTCAGATGATGACTTGTGGTTTAATTGTATAAAAGGTAAGGAAATTGAATATGAAACTGCATTTGCTTTGATGTAAGGGGTAGTGTTCCCTTCATCTAAAGAACATCTGACATTTATGAAACAGTAAACCCTTTTTTAAAAAAATTCTGTGTAAATGAGAAGGTGGGGCTGGGCAAGGTTATATTTCACTGGGCATCTTTTAAATCCCAATAGCTCCTATCAGTAGGAATCTCCTAAAGCTAAGCTTTTGGTATGAATTACTCATTATTATAAATAATTATATTCATTTTTCATAGATCTCATGGAACTCTAATCAGGTCATCTGGCCCGTGACATTAAAAAGTAACATTGTTGCTCTGTAGCAGGAGAAAAAAGTAAAGAGAGCCAAGGAGTGGAAGGAAGCTTAAAGAGTACATTAGAAGGAGAAGACCAAGTGTGTGTGTGTTGTTTTTTGTTAATATTTATTTTTAAGTTATAATTGGACACAATACCTTTATTTTATTTATTTATTTTTATGTGGTGCTAAGGATCGAACCCAGGGCCTCGCATGTGCTAGGCAAGCGCTCTGAGCCACAACCTCAGCTTCCAAGTGTAAATGGAATTCTTTTTTATATACCTTTATTTATTTATTTTTCTATTATTTATTTATTTATTTATTTTTATGTGGTGCTGAGGATCAAACCCAGCACCTTGCACATGCTAGGTAAGCCACCACCTGAGCCCCTCCAAGTGTATTTTTAAAAAAATATTTTGTAATTGTAGATGGACAGAATGCCTTTATTTTATTTGTTTATTTTTATGTGGTGCTGAGGATCAAACCCAGTGCCTCATGCATGCTAGACAAGCTCTCTGCCACAGAGCTACAGCCCTAGCCCTCTTTCCAAGTATATTTTTAACAAAGATTTACCGGGTAATATACCTTTTTTTAAAAAAAAAATACTTAGTTTTTAGTTTTAGGTGGACACAATAGCTTTATTTTATTTCTAAGTGGTGCTGAGAATCGAACCCAGTGCCTCATGCATGCTAGGTGAGAACTCTACTGCTAAGCCACAACCCCAGCCCCAGGAAATATATCTTAGGACTATTTAACACTTCTTAAAATTTCAGGACTATATGGTTTTGTAAGGGGCTTTTGCGGGGAATA